ATTTATTCTTAAAACACAAAAGTTGTATTCCAGCAAGGCTGTTCATTAGGAGGAAGCGGATACTTTAAAACTACTTCAGCAGTTCTCTAATGCTGTCTCGACAGCTGAATCCCAAGTTCACAGCACTGCAGAATAAAGCATTTGGTAATGGACTGCTGCTGCTATTCATCTCCAGGTACAAGAGACTCACCCTGTCTCCTCTAGTGCCAAGTTGAACAGCATCGCTCCAATTCAGCTCTACACAAGGAGAGGAATATGTTACCTTGCTGCTGCCTTCACCTGTTCCTTTTCCTTTGCTTCAGTGTGCTGGTTTTCTTGTGTATTTCACAGTCTGTCTACGAGAGAATTTCTGGTTTATTAAAATTCCTTTTTTTTTTTCTTGCCCTTTCCAAACATTAAGCAGCAAAAGCTTTACACAATCAAGAGCTATACTCATTCCTTCATACTCTTTAGATGTGGGGAGCCCTTGTTAATTAGAAAAAGGAGGAAGGCAAAGTTTTCTCCCAGAATGATGGGTATTTTCTTCTCTTAAATTCCAACAATAGCTGAGAAATCCTTGGAAAAGATGTTCTAGCCAAAATTCACTCAGCATTAGACATGCTGTGAATAAATATTCCAGTTTCTCGCTTGCCACGTGGACTCCTTTTGTTCCTTAGCCCTGCATCTGATTTGGGGATTTGGGAGCTGGGAAGTGCAAATATGTATGTTTGGGTTTTTTCCCCTTAGAAAATACGATTTCATGTTGCATTAGGACAGTACAGGCAGTGCTTCTTGTTACATCGTGCCGTTATAGCTCGAGGTCATTGGTACAGATGTATCTCGGAACCTGCAGACAGTATGCACGTGTGTGTGCAAGCCTGTGTGTTAGAGTTCATGCCTTGGGCCCTTCTCTTATTGCTAAAAGTAATTTTTTTGTCAAAACTAGTGAGGGCTGGAAATTTTACCACTCAGTACCATTAGGAGTAGGGGATGCCTTGCTTCTGTACATTACTTGGATTTAACATCAAACCTTTTGGGTATTTGGTTTATTTGCATTGAAGAAATCTTTCTAGTAGAGCAAATAAATCTATTCCTGGTTCAAAGGAGTCATTTGAGTTTACAGCACCAAAATTGTAGAAACAGAACATAATTGGGTTTTTCTCCTTCTTTTATCCCCAGAGAGTGAATAGAGTCTCTACTGACAGAAATCACCATTTAATAATGCATTCTCTGGTGGAAGTTTCTGGGGTTGGAACAGTCCTGGATACTCATTTAATAAACTCCCCCCCCCTGCTTCTGATCAATGTGGATACTGTTCTTTCCTGTTGCTCAGATGAGACCCGGGCAGATCATTTCTGGCCAAGGATCCTCCCTAGAAAAGGGGGGTCTTGAAATGCAGACCCTTCTTGTGCTTTTTGGTTTCTGGAAACTACAGAGGTGTGCTTTGCTTCTGGTGGCCTGTGTGTTTGGCTTCACAGAGCCCTGCATCATCTTGGAGGTTGATACTTATGCTTTAAATAAAACACAGGCAGACACAATATTGAACTGTGCTTTTCTTATCAGTCTTTAAACTGTTCGATTAATTTTTAATTACCAAATCATAGAAAAGCTTGCCTCCACCCAACCAAATTCAAACCATCTCAGCCAGGTGTTGGACCGATGAAGAAAAACATGTGACATTAGCTGTTTACCCGTAATGAGACTTCTTTCAGAGGGAACTTCTAAATGAGTGCACAGATGTCTTGGTCTAGTAACAGCAAGTAAAACAACAAGGGAGAACATGTCGGACCACATGACGGAGCACTGTCATGCACCACCTTTTGGACTCTGACACCCTTCTGCCCCCAAGCAGCATCTGTTATTTTTTCAGGACAGAAAATAACTCCCATAAATCCAATGCCGCTCAGCCCAGCACAGGCTGGGAGTTTTGAAGCAACATGAAACTTGGTATTTTACTAAATAAAACACTTGGCAACTCACATTCACACAATTTTCATTGAACTCATACGTGTGACAGGACTGTGGAACTCTGTTAATCTGGCTGTAATAACTGTAAGTTTCCTTTTCCAGTTTCAGAACAAAAGAAATTTAAAAATCATTCTTACGGTCAAGGAACACAGACAAGTTAGCCTACTTGGTTTAAAGTGTAATTTGGATTTTATTTTTAGTGCTCTATTACTTGCTTTCAAATGACTTTCTTATAGTTTGTCTCTGAAATAGTCGAGCTGTGGTTACCTTCAGGTGTGTTGGTGAACAAGGGTGGTGTTTTCAACAGCAAGTAGTGTTATTTATGGTCCTCAATTTTTCAGACTACTCCTAGAAAGCAAATTTGTTAAGGCAAGTGTGTTAATATTTTTCTGAAAACTGGGGAAGCCAGGCACCCAAAATGACCAGTGACTTTTTGGTTGATTGGTGCCTGTCAAATACCTTTAGATTCTGATGCAGGAGCCACCACTGAAGTGGAAGGGGGTTGCTTTGTGGGTATGCCGTGGTTTGCGTTTCTCCTGCCTGTTTCTAAAACACTGGGAAGCTTGTCCTGGTAGCTCACAACAGTAAATCTGGCAGGCTGTGAAAACCCACCTTCCTCACGACGACGAGTGCTCCCTGGCTGTATTCTACCTTTTCCACAGGTACACGCTGGCGGCACAGGACCTGGTGATGCGAGCCAGGGGGGTGCTGAAGGACCGGGGCTGGCGAATATCCAACGACAGGCTGGGCTCTGGAGACGACATCTCTGTCTACGTCATCCCTTTAATACACGGGAACAAACAGTCGTGAAAGTAGCATCGAAAGTGGTTATAGGATGGGGATCTTTTGGGGAAGGGCCTGTAAGAGACTGTGTTTTTGGTGATCTGACCAGGACACTTCCAATTGATGTAATCTATTCAAAACTAATGCTGGAGGGGTATTTTTCTGCCCGAAAGGTAGGGCTCTGCACATATACTGTATATGATTAAAGATAACCCTTAAGATTACAGTTTCCCTATAGAAATGGTTTTGGTGCTTAACAGGAATGGGATTTAAATGCTGCTAGCATATTACGGATTCTGTCATCCCTCCAAGTGGGGAATTAATTTTTTTTTCTCAGTTTACCATGTAGCTTTGAAGAGCCATTTCAGTTGTGACAGTAGAAGTGGGTATCAGAAGCCAAGGAGGCTCCTGAAATCTACCCCCAAATATTCAGAAGTTGACTTGGGTCACATCTCATTTAAAAATACCTATATATACATATATGAGACTTGAGAGTTTTCTTCTTTCAAGAAGTTGCATACATGACTTACCTATGGACAACTTCAAACTTGTGTAATCCTTTGAACCCCCATTTTCCTCTCCTGTCTCTTCTTTAGTAGACTATACTCCTGTATTTTAGTAGGAAAACTGAAATTGTTTTCAGTGTGACTATGCCTGTTTACTGCAGTTAAAACAGCCACCTGCAAAATTGTCCGGGAGAAACAGGTCACAGTTCTGTATGGCAAGATTTATTCCGGTGTTAGGAGTTATTTCTCAAGACTCCCTGTTGTGTGTATACCATGATTATACAGAGCACGCCACCTCAGCTTTATGGATGTTTACCTGGAGGCCGTGGTTTCTTTGGGATCAGAGATTTTCATTCATTGAATGGTTCTGCCTGCTTTGTCCTGTTGAAAGGATCCCTGACCATACAGCTTTTGCATCAGTTGGGATTCAGTAAATTTATTTGGGCTCCTGAGTGTATTTTTTGTCGTATTCCTACTTGAAGTGATGGTATGGTTCTTGTTATCAATTTGGATACCCAGATAGGGATCTATTTAAAAGTCGTTTCACTTCTTCCTGCCTCGCTTATTATTCAGTATACCTTTGTCTGCTTGACTTGGTGATCAGAAAGTGACAGCTTGTAACTTTGTCCTGTTGCTGTTGAGGACTGTAGTCAAGGATCAAAAGACCACTGTGATAGATACAAGCCCTTGGCTAGCTCCAGCAGCCTTTTTCTTAGCAGTGGTGAATCAATTTAAATTAAGAAAATCTGAGTAAAAGGTTATCAGAGTAAAAGTAATAGTCCAAGACGGAAACGACTGAGCAAATCTGCAGCTTAAACTGGCTGCCCATTCTTCCAAGTAGCCAGCTCTCCTACTTCATTGGCAGCAACTGAAGAAAAAACTTCAGAAGGTTCTAGTGTATAGGCAGGTATATTGGCTGGGGAGCTGAGTTCAACCTAATTTACCCCCGACCACATTCTTTTGGAGCTGCTCATCTGGCTTGTACTTCTTGGATTGCCAAAAGATAGGGGGCTGACATTGTAGGGCACTGACTAGGCAGCTCACAGCTCATGTTGTGTCCTTTCCAAAGGAGGAAGAGGATGCTGTGCCCTTTGCAGACTCTCCCCTGAACAGGCGTGGCCTAGAACTTGCCAGTTTTGTAATTTATAATGTGCTATGTAAACACCATGCAGTGCGTGTGCAGTATAGCTGCCCAGATGCTTTATTTGATTGCATCTGGAAGTACATGTGCAACAGTCTTGGTGGATTTAAACTACCCTTGCTCTAAATCTCTAGACCTAGTAGGAGTTTCAGGTTGAGAGGAGGCAATACAGAGTGTGTAACAGGTCAAACATGCACCAAACGGCATTATTTTAGCCCAAAAACTGTTCCGTGCATTCCCCAGTGCCTGCATGTGATGAAGCTGTGCAGAATACGGATGTTTTATATTCTAGAGCTTCCGCATAAATCAATGGCATATCTGATTATGTGTTGTCATGCTTTATCTATTCTTTCCTTTTTTTTTTTTCCCTTTACCTCTTTTTCTGTGTGCAGCTGGGTGAAAAGAGAGGTTTGGAGTCTAGAATATTTTTCACATGGCCCCTCATATGTTTTAAAGTTTAAGCAAGAGATCTTCTCTTGCACTCTTTTTTTTTTTTTTGGCCTAATAAACTTGTAAACATGCTTTTCATGCTCTGTGTAACTCCTGTTGTCTCTTCGCAAATGCAGTTGTGTAGTCCTCCAGCAATTCAGATCCTCTTTCACAAAGAAACTAATGCTGGCAATTCGGGGGGAGTTATCTGAACAGCAAAGAAGCTGGTGCTTGCTGGTACCTACTACGAGCCTGAGTCAAATATTTCAGTGCCCACGTGTTGTTAGTCTTCATTATTTGGTAACATGGTGTCAACACACATACCAGTCATTATAAAACCACTGAGCACAATGTGGTGGAAATAAATTTCCAGTGTAGCATTTGCAAAAATTTAAAAGTGTCATTTCAAGGCAATGGAAAATGCACCTTCTCATGCAGGGCTGTTTTTAAATGTGCCCCTGGAGAGATGGGTTAGCAGAGTGCATGACTTGTGGGAGCAAACTGGCTGGTGACTTCTCAGAGCAAAATCTCGCAGGCACTGGTATGGCTTCGTGAATCAGCCTCCAGTATGTTTGTTGGTCATCTGAGGTATTGCTTTCAGTCACCCCGCTTCTCTGCAGCGGCTGTGCCCAGGTGGAGTTGTGTTACCTATCACACCCTCTCCTGGAAAGGGTGGAAGTACAGTATCAACAATTAATATCAATTAGCATCAATTAATAAGTTCTCAGAACTTGAAAGGATAATAAAAAGCTTCCTACTCAGATGTATGTGACTAAAACTATGCTGTGATGCTTTTTGTTTTGCTTTTTTTACAAAGTATCTGTTACACAATTACATGCTTGCCTCCCTAGGGCGTCTCTGGTCCATCTCTGACGTGCTGCGTTGGTACTTGGGCTTTCACTTCTATCTGCTTTCACTAGGAGCTTCTTACGTGCCTGCAGCATGGTCTGTGCTCTGCTTCAAGGCATGGTATAAATACATATACCATACACCAAAGCCTCATATAAATAGGAGGCAGGAGTCATTTATTGGGGAGGTATTGTGTGAGAAGCAAGAATAATTGAAAGCATTTCCAATTCCCTTTGTAAGTTCAATTATTTTGGGAGTCACAACATTAGAAACCACTGATGGCAGGGAGAATCCATGCACATTTTTCAGATAGGCACAGGATGGATATTGCCACGTGCAGACTTGCAGCTGCTCTAGGGCTCAGTGAAGCTCCTGCCTTAGGAGCAGACAGCTCGCCTCCTCAAACTGGAGCAAGTTAGGCACCAACTCCAAATTTTAGATCCTTGGCACGTCATCTGAGTTACTGCCTGATGCCAGCAGCACTATGGGTTTTTTTGCCAGTGAAGTTCCCTTAGTATCCAAAATTGTTTAAGCCTCAGTAGCAAGGAACCTGAGTCCTGAGTTATGTCTGTATTCATATTGCTTTTGCACAGTGCTGTGTCCTTGCCTGTGCGTAGACACTGCTCAGAAAGTCAGGGAAGTTCTTGTCCTTCCTTGGACAAGGGCAAGGAAAGGAAATAGTATGCCATACAGTTCAGGGTAGCCGACAATGCAATGTAACGCTGTCTTCTGGTGCCTCGTCCAGTCTAATTTCTAGAAACTCAAAACCAAGAAGCTTCTACCATTCTCCCATGAATGCTGTTGCAGAAGGTAGTACAGCCGTTTTGGACATTTTTCTCTCGGACTGCAGCCTAAAATCATCTTTGTTTAATTTGATGAAGAAGGTAGTCAGAAATTCCATTTACACCTTAAGTGAGGCACACAACCATCTTTTGGTACATTAATGCAATGACGACTCCTTCATGAACGCAAAAGCGTATTGTCTGAGAGGGCTGATGTTCAGTGGCCTCATGCTGGAGAGAGAGATTTTTTTTTTTTCCATGAATTCTAAAAAACAACAGGGCTAACAAGCTAAAGGAAAAGTGGTCAGAGGCTGCTGTTAGCAGTGGATTTCCATGTTAAAGTTACTTCCATGTTAAAATATGACAAGAGAAGCCTGTGAGGTACTGTCGACTCTGTGCCTCCGGGATATTTTTGAAGAACTGCACTTGATGTTTGGGGAGATTTTGGCTTTGAACTTTTGCTGGGTTTTTAAAGAACACTACACACTCCAAGCAAATCTGCTGTGTTTCTTCCTGCCTCGGCGTTTTGCTTTCATTTTACATTTTATGTACAAACTCTTTCAACATTTTTGTATCAAACATGAATTGCAAACTGTGTGGAATTGTTGTTCCTCCCTGACATTTCTAATGTGTAAATAGTTTTTCTCCATGTGTCTTAGATGAAGATATAGTGATGTGGCTACCATAGGGAGAGTGACCAAACGATGCTGTTAACTGTGCTGCTGTATTTCTGCCTGTGATGTACTTGAAGGAGGATGCCCTTGTCCACCTCCACTCTCATTGTTTATTCTTTCTCTTTTTTTTTTTTTTTCTTTTTTTAACCATTGCTGGTGGTTTTCTTTCATAGATGTCTTATTTGGGTTTGGGTTTTTTTTTTCTTTCAATAGCTGCCACCTTTTTCTTTCCTTCATTGGACAAGTCATCTTGTTTTGAGATCTGTACAGCTGTCTAGGTTTTATACATCCTGAAGAATGGAGGACCTGCTGGAAGAAGATGTTTTGGACCAATGTACTTCTGCTTTGTGACTGTGAAATGTTAATCTTTTTGTAACCTAAGGACAAAAAAAATGTTTGGTAAAGGGATATATTTTGTGTTTTTTTGAAACTTTTCAGTGCAATGAACAAAAGAGGAGGATGCTGAAGAACTGTATGCGCAAAGTTTTAAAATAAAATTTTAAATTATATATTATATATACCCATCTATATCTATAAGCATTATTATTCTGCCTTTGTCCTGAAGAGTACTTAAGTCTCTTTGTGTGTACTACTAATTGTGCAATACGGACAAGTAGCACGCTCTGCTTTATAAGGGAACGGATGA